TACGTACACACACTCTCAGTGATACGTGCACACACTCAGTGATACGTGCACACACACACACACACACACACACACACACACACACACACACACCAGAACTCCCTGTGTAAATAGAAGTTGAACCATGTAAAACATGTGAAGTTTGTGGGCAGTCAGACAGCAGCAGGTTAACTTACTGCTGCTTCAGATGATAAAACTCAGCCAAGGAGGAGGGGCTGCTGGGGGTGCCAATAAGTTCAGATGAAACCCAACGCTGAAGAATGGTCCTCTTTGTTGTAAAGTCTGTAGAAGATTTGGGACTTTCTGCAGACAGACTGAATGAAAACAGAACCAATCATTAGTTAATCTGATAATAAACACATTTTATTCTCACTGAAACATAAACAGATCAAATGTTTGAGAAATCTGCTCAGTTTCAGTCAGATTTCACACATTTTGTGACTGAAGAGGTTCATCATGAGCAGGTGAGGCAGGCTGTCAGGAGGAAAGACGGCCGAGCTTCACCGGTCTGAACAAAACCGTGTGAAACTACAGAACACTTTCCTTTTTTACATCAAATGTTTTAAAAATTAAACATTTCAAACAGCTGAATCCAGCCTGAGATAAACAGCACAAATCACTCTGTCACTATTTATTAAAGTGGTCCAGGTCCAAACCACAGGTCCTTCACCCTGTGCTGACAGCTGATGTCCTTCAGATGTGCTGCAGTGCATTGTGGGTAAGCAGTCAGCGCTGGTGTGTCCTGAGTGAGTCGGATCTGGTTCTGCAGGCAGGAACCTGAGCAGGACTTCAGACAGAAGACAGCAGCAGCTGGGACACCACGGAGCAGAAACCATCAGGAAGCTCCTCTGTCTGGGAACGAATCCATCAAGTCTTTGTGGGAAATAGTTCAGTTCATGTGCTCTGTGATGTGGACAGTGTCTGCTGCCCGCAGATGGCAGGAAGTGGTTCAGTTAGGCAGTAAGTGGAACCACATGGTTCTGATCCAGGCGCTCCTGCTGCTGCAGCCTCTGCATGAGAAACACCAACCAGAACTGTCATGGAGGTTCAGAGCCAAAAGTAAAAGTTTCAGTCAGAGTGAAACTGAAACAGCACGGTTGTGCAGCGGTTCGAGCTGTCGCCTCACAGAAGGTCACAGGTTCACCTCCGGACCCTGGACCTCCCTGTGAAACCTGAGAGTTCGCCACTTCTCCACAGACCAAAACCATCATGTGAGCTCCATTAAATGTCCCTGAGGGACAGGTGTCCCCGTGATGGACTGAGACAAGTCCAGGTGTCCCCGTGATGGACTGAGACAAGTCCAGGTGTCCATGTGATGGACTGAGACATGTCCAGGTGTCTCTGTGATGGTCCAGGTGTC